CTTGGCGTGCTCAGCAGAGCGGGACAGTATTTCATGCCGGCACACCGCCTGCAACTTTACAAGGCGCAGGTTCGGCCGCTTATGGAATACTGTTCCCATCTCTGGGCTGGAGCTCCCCAGTACCAGCTCCTTCCACTTGACCGCATCCAGCGCAGAGCGGCTCGAATCATCGACGACCGAGTGCTTTCCGATCAGCTCGATTCACTGGCGCTGCGAAGAGATGTTGCATCTCTTTGCGTATTTTATCGCATCTATCAAGGGGAGTGCTCTGAGGAATTGTTCGGATTAATCCCAGCCGCCAAATTTCGTGAACGCACTACACGGCAAACGTTCCGATACCATCCACACCATCTGGATGCTTGGCAGTCCACCACTGTACGTTTTAAAAGGAGTTTTCTTCCGCGTACTACCTCTTTGTGGAATAGTTTACCACCGGTGATTTTTTCGGACCGAAACGACCTGGAGACCTTCAAGAAAAGAGCTTACTCCTTTCTAAAGGGCCTGCAACTCACCTGCAATTCCCCTTGTGTTGCGGTTGATCATGGGTGGCGGTAGTCACTTAACATCAGGTGAGCCACATGCTCGTTTGCCCCCTCTTCTATAAAAAAAAAATCACGCAACATTCTAGAATCTTTTCTTTCCCCCTCTCACCCCACCACCCCGGTGTGTACGGAAGGGATAGGTCGAAGGAAGGACAACGCTTGGCAAGCGTACCGTCGAATAAAAATACGAATGGTTTTCCGCGCAACCAATTTCAATTCGTAAACAATATGATTGGATTTAAAAATTGAAGTTCTAGAAACAAATTCAATTTTATAATTTCGAAATTATACAATCGAATTCGTCCATGCTAATTTTTGGGTCCCCGAGTCCGTGAGCGATGCTGTGATATTGCAGCAATATTAAATTACTTCTAAAGTGATATACTATACTGATATTGTTATATACAGCGTGTCTGATAGTAATTGGAGATAAAACCACACGATTTATTTATGAACATTCAGCTATATAGCAGAATATTAGGTATTGTTCTTTTCGATATGAGAAATATATATATATATATATATATATATATATATATATATATATATATATCTCTTGAAGAAACGACAACCGATGGGGAAGAATGGTTCTGAAGAATGGAAATGGAATGGGAGGGATCGAGGGACTATAATACCGTCATCACAAGTTCACTACTAGTAACTGACATTATCAGCAAATGTATTTCAAATTTACTAATTAAATAATTATTAATATTTACGATACGTTGCAAAGAATCACGCCCACTTTCCGTACATTGATTTCTTTAACAGGTCGTGTATACATACAACTATTGTTGTATAAAAACAATTATTGTCTATGATAACATATTAATTTATCATCTTTTCATTTAGAGGCCAGGGGAAAATACTAATATGTAGATAACTTTTGAGGTTATAATAGCTGTCAGATTATGTTTATACACTTATTTTTCTTTCGACACCATAGTTTAAAACCATAAAACATGGTATCTAATCATAAATTTTAGAAAAAAAGCAATTGGTTACTTTGAACATTCATAAAACACAAGATGAATGAACAAGTTTTTCGTAGTATGAAACGGAACGTGTAAGACACGTTTATTTATATACTTTGGCATGACTTCTGGGCCTTTGAGCTATTTTAAAACACGTTCTGTCTCCAAAAGTCTATTAAGATTGATAAATTAAATTTTGCGATTCGAAATAAACAAAAAACAGGCAATTTTATAAGATATTTTACATCACTAGACGCATAAGGAAATTTTCAGGTCAAGACTGTATATGATTCTTTGAAATATTTAATTAATTTTTATTTCCCGTTTTATTTCGAACAATAAATACACAGTGAAAAACATTTAATGTGTCCGCCCATTTCTACGTAATCTACATTAGAAATCGGAACACGGTTGTGAACAAATTTATATCTTTTGGGTATTGCGCTTGGACTTTTGCGGTTGGAAAGCAATAAAATCTGTACGGTTTAATACATTTATTAGTCTTCTCTTAATACTTAAGGTGCAAATGGAAGGTTATTTTTTTAAACAAATATGAAATATGCTCTCTAAATTATGACTCAGTATTTTTATCACGTATACCTCAACACTTGAAAACAAGGGAGTATAAACAGTGCGTATTGCCAGTGGATGACATATGGATTTGACTTTGTACTTCACTGCTGAAGAATCAATATTGGCTGTCACCCTACCATTTGACATCTCTTAATATTTAAATAGTCGCTATATACTATCACTTGTTTCTATTTTAATACGTTTACGGTTTGTGTATAATTCAATCTACATAATTAAGTTTTTGTATAGTAGAGTAAATTTAATGTTTTGTAGTCAAGTCGTCAAAGAATCAAGTTTCGGTTCGAGGTGATATATGACATAGCGGGAGAAAATCTGTCATCGGATTTCATCCCGTGGATATCGTAAGAGACGAACATGGAAAATGCTAAAAAAATATTACGGTTCCCGATTGATGACAGTATAATTTTCATCCTCCTTGTTTGCCACAAAATACAAGCCTTAAATAACAGCTTTATGCCGCTGTATATTCTTATAGTGAGCATGGTGTACATTTTACTGGAAACGAGGCGTTATATGTTTATCCTTAAAGATGACAGCGAATCTCACTTATCACCTACCATCTGGTGAATTGAGTACACGATTGTCCCACTTATCCTTTTTTTATCGCACACAGTCAACCTGAAGGTAACCGGATGCTGTGAACCAAATACATCTTAATTTATCCTCAATAAAGAATTAAAACTGAGATGCGTTATCACCCGTGAGAACTAAGATAGATTGTCTCGTTTCCAGTAGAAAGGAAACTCGGTTCTCTGCTTAATCATTATTTAAAAGAAGACGTAAAATGTTCAGATGATGGACGAGCAGCAGAGTCAAAGGTACGAGACGTGTGGTACTGCGACCATCAATACTCAAGAAAGGCATATTTTTCTTTAGAAGAGAGGGCCCTGTTGAGTGATACAGAAAATATATAATCAAACCTGCTGATCGTCCACCTGATTGCTATCATGTCCACTTCATAGCAATTGCTTGCGTGTGACTCCAAAAATGACGTATATAGCTGCTCATAGGGCCTCTCAATCTCACTCAAAATCTCAGTTGCGCTTCCGATGCTGCCTACATACATATTTCTACATTCGATATTCGGTTTCGGCACTAGGTTCTTTCTGGCAGTCAGATCTCTGGCAAAGACGTTAAGCCTGATCGCTTCTTCGATACGAGCTGTATTGAAGTTGCGTACGTCCGGCCGCATGCATTACGAGATCTATCTGTTCAGTTGCCTGTATGCCGTAAAATCTGCTAAAATGTGCAGCTTCGTCTTCCGTCTAACAACCATGAGATAAAAATGTGATCAGAGAGTTTTTGTGTTCTTCTGCGATAGGTCTTACAGAACTTAGATCCGACCGCATGAACAATTTCCACGAGCTTGTCATTCGTACCGTTCCACTTCTAGGCACTGAAAACGATTTTGTAACTTGAGCTGAAAGTTTTCGGGGTTTTGGATTATAGCACGAGGGGGACGGAGCGTTGACTTCATTAGACGTGACATCTCCAACTTTACCTTTAGGTTCAGTGTGTCTCTCACAATTTGGTGATCGCTGCCAATTTTCACCCTTGCGTTCACTGAGACTGAGACTTCTTTTGAACTCAGATAATTCTCTAATATCCCAGCGCAACTTGTCTATCTCTTCTTTCAGCTCCAGGATATTCTCGTCAGTTCTCAGGGTGCGTGCATTATATATTACCAGGTCGTCCCGTCTTAAGTGATAGCCGAACTTCCACTGGAGATTAATAGCACCCCCCTGCCCCACCGTCACCGTGGTCGCCAACGTAGCAAGAAATAGGGAGCGCCGGGTACTGGGGCTGTTTATTTATATCCGTTGATTTAGTGTCAGGGGTATATTGCCATAGTTGCCTCGCTTAGGCAGCGGGTTAGCAACCGCAGTTTTTTCTTGTTTTTGATCTTATCAGAAAGATGCTTCTGTCTTATCTTCTGCCTCAGTTTCCCTCTGTCGCTTCTTACGACACCCAGAAAAAGATGTTGTTCTATTCGTAGTGGGTATTCTTACCCGCCACTAGACGGGTCGCAATCACAATTCTCTAATAATATATAAACACAATGTAATATATGATAATTTCAAGATGATCTTTAACCACTAGTAGGCTAAGGTTATCGTTTTTAATTGTTATTGTAGGATCTACGAAGATAGAGAGACACCGATTTACGTCCAATTGTAAATTTAACTGTAAATGGAAGTGTTATTGTTCACTCAGACTTATTTTTGTATAATATAATAATAATTAATAGAATTAAAAGCTACTCTGAGGAAATCAATTATATTATGAAAGATGGTAAATAATGACGGCGGTGTGTCTTTTCTAGTGTAGTGGTGTTGGAAGTAGTGATGCTGGGATCAGTGGTGACCAGGATAGTGCACGCAATTGAGGAAGGGCAAGACGTCCTCTTGAAATTAGATAAGACACACATAATATAATAATAATAATTAATAGAATTAGGAGCTACTCTGAGGAAATCAATTATATTATGAAAGATGGTAAAGACAACGTCGAGTCGCGGCGCATACGGACGTGTCGTACCGCTTAGTTAAAATTAAATCATTCTCAATAAATAGTGTCATTCTAAAATCGTAATTATTGCAACTACAATAGAGTTAATTTTGCATTGCTAATGTCAGTGGTTACGTGCCGTGTTGAGTAAGGGTGTGACCCTCACAGTGCAGTGAAATTTCACTCCTGTTATTATTGCATCTTACTCGCATAGCACAGAGTAGCTGGGGTCAGAGAAATCCTTCCGCAAAATGCAACGTTCACCTTCTAATAAGCGTCACGATTCTAATCCAGATTTATCGAACATAGGTGTAAGAAAGCGAAAAAACGATCATGATATCACAGAATCGTTACAAGCATTTACGGACACCATATTAAGAAAATGGATAGTTGGAAAACAGTGATAGATAAAAATCTATCACAAATAAACGACACATTAAATGATATTATTAAGAAAGATCTTACTATAATAAAAGAAGAGTCTCTGGAATTAAAGACAGAGATTAAAAATGTTTGGAAGCAATATACAGAAGTAAAATCATGTGTCGCAGTACTGAGTGCACAACAACCCGAAATGCAAAAAGAAAAAATCACACTTCAAAAATCAGTGCAGTTTAACTCTGACTGGCATGATGAAACCACTAAAAAGTTTGAAGTCCTATTTGAGCTCACAAAGAAAACTGACAACCTCAAATCGGAAATTTATAATCTTAAACTACAAAATCAACAATTAAATCGACAAATGAACATTAACGAGTAACGTGACCGAATCCTAAATGTTGAAATTGTCGGCATACCAGAATCAATCATCGAGGCAAACAATCAATCTTGAGAATATGTAAACAAGTCGGAGTTAAAATGGATACAATTGATACTGCAGGTTAACAGAGTATCCAAAAGTAAAACTGCCAGGTCGATCCAGGGTGATTATTGCCAATATGAAATCAAGGCTCCTGATAACCTAATATCTCTATCCCGTAAAAATCGTCAAACTACTAAGGACATTGGGCTAGCAGGTGAAAGCAGACCAATTTGTATCAATGAGCACTTAACCTCTAACTCTCACAATAAGCAGCTCCTAAACAAGTGCAAAGATTTTGCTAAATCGAGTCAGTACCAGTTTGTCTGGACAAAAAATGGAAGAATTTTTGTACGACGAAACGATACATCTCCTGGCCTGCAAATATTCGACGAGGAGGATCTCAAGAAAATTATCACCAAACAATAGCTGATGTCGTTTGTAGAATGATATTATTTTTTCTTATTGGTTTTGGTGCCTATGTTTTGTTTACCTTTACTAATCCTTATGACAACCGTAATAATAAAAAATAGATAATTAAATTCTTTTCCACAATACTATGTTAATTGAAGAAACGTTTTGGTTCACATTTTCTCTGAAGTTAGTCTACTCTGTGCTCAAAATAATTATTGTTATATTTTGTACTTTTGCATTTGCACCTATTCCCTTACGCATAGTGCACTACAACTTTATATTGATTTGTCGATTAAATGGCAGGTACTGTAACACACAATATTTAAACTTATCGGTTCACTGTAACAAACTAGTAAAGTCAAAGACAAGTTTTTTTATGCAGATATCTTTTTTGAACTTATGAGGATCTGTAATATCCATGAGTACATAATGGCACATCAACCAAACTATCTCATCATTGTTTCTAATAAGCAAAGTACTACGCAACCACTACTAATTATATGTATCGGCTTTGGGGAGTATACGGCGTTCTGCATCTGCAACAATTTTATTTTACAATACCGCCTACTTGCCCGCAAAATGATGCGGCTACCGCTTAGTAGTAGAACATTACACTCTATAAGTATACACTTTAATATTCTGTCACAAACACACATAAATCCTTTTATTATAAAAAACAATATTTATTCGTTGCTATTATTCTGGAGAAATAGTATTTTAGCGTGTGCGAGCGAAAATATCATTACACAACAAGTAATAAAAACATACTTAATACTTGTAAACATAATTTTCCTAATAAATGTCCGTTGCTGTTATTTTATTTTGATTATTTTTTATTTTTTAATTATGCCATTCGTTTCCGGTAAACTTGTTAGACAGTATTACAATTTATTAAATTAATATATGTTTAAATGGCGGTCCAATTCAAATTAGGGAAAAATTTATTTATTTATTATCAAAATGCTCGCGGACTGAGAACAAAATGTTTACAACTGCGACAGCAAATTTTGTGCAATGAATATGACATTATTGTAATCACAGAAACCTGGTTGCATGATGGGATCTCAATCGGGAATTTTGCGATAACAGATATGACGTGTTCCGCCATGACCGTGATCTGGACTTAAGTTGTAAAAAAATAGGGGGAGGTGTTACGATACTCGTGCGCTGCGGACTAGGCGCGACGCGCTGCGAAATCGCCGCCGCGGTCGCTGCGGGTCTCGAGCTACGCATGGAGATTGTTACGGTGTCGGTGCCGCTGCTGACCTATTTATTATTGCGATTTATATTCCACCTAATTCAGGGCGTATTCCGGGAGATATAGAATGCCTACTGCAAACTCTTACAAGTACAATAAGCACAAATGGTATACAGGGACATTTGTTAGTGATGGGCGACTTCAATTTGCCATGTATATCGTGGCACAGGGATGGCCCTGTACATACAAGTGGTTTTAATGTAGATGTGAGGGACGCTGGAAACAGACTTACAGAAGAATTGAGTTTTCTAGGGTTAAAACAATATAATACCAATATAAATCAAGCTGGTAATACATTAGATCTAGTATTTTCCGATCTTCCATTGGAAATCACTAACTGCACCTCACCCCTAGTTAATATTGATCGGGCTCACCCAGCTCTTGTAATAGAAGTCTCAGATATCACATTTACCCCTCTAGTTGAAGCATCACTCCCAAAGCATAGCTTCAACAGAGGCGATTGTTGACAAAATAAATTAAGCGTTTGGTAACATCGATTAGCTATCTATGTTGGGCTCGTGTGGAGCTGAGAACGCTTGTAATATTTTTTATGATACCATTAATAACATAATCTCAAAATATATTCCTTATAAAACAATACATGGCAATCATACTTATCCATTGTGGTACAACCAAGCTCTTATTAAAATAATAAAAGAAAAAGCGAAAGCACATGAAAGGTGGAAAAAATATGGCAATTAAATATTATGACGAATTTTAATTTCGACGTAGACGACAACAACGCGTGACTGATCATTGCTTCAAAAATTTTACAAAACAGGTTGAAAAATCTATTAAATATACACCAAAGGCATTTTGGTCTTATATAAAATCCATGCACGGAGGATCGAACTATCCCAAACAAATGTCATACCGAGAAAACACAGTATCCAATGGGAGAGACATATGTGATGCATTTAACGATTTCTTCAAAAACGTCTTCGGAGCCCCATCCACCGGGTCTACAGAACTTGAGTGTGATAATATAGTTGGTGACGCCATTTCCAAAATTCATATTGAGGAGAGGTGAGTTGGTAGAGAAAATATTAAATCTCCTCGACGTTTCAAAGGGAACTGAATGTGATAATATTCCACCATTATTCCGGCGTAACTGTGCAAAGACTATATGCACACCTATAGCCCTTATATTTAATATTTCACTTCGCGAGGGAGTCTTTCCTAGAATTTGGAAAAAAGCACACGTGGTGCCTATACATAAGAAGGGTAGCAAAAGTAAAGTTGAAAACTACAGGGGGTCTCAATCTTAAATACAATTAGTAAAGTCTTCGAAAAAATTGTTTATATATATACCCTGTTATAAGTAAAGGCCTTCCAGCTGCCCAGCACGGATTTCTCAGACAACGCCCCACTGTCACAAATCTCGCATGCTTTTCGAACTATGTATTATCAAATATGGATGGCGGCGGGCAAACTGACGTGGTCTACACGGATTTTGAAAAAGCTTTCGATCGCGTGGACCACATCATTCTTTTGAGAAAACTTCAGATGTTGGGTATTCACGGGGATCTGCTCAGGTGGATCGAATCCTACTTACGTAACGGGTCACAAGCTGTGGTGGTGGGGGGATACAGATCGGATTTCATTGATATACCAACAGGTATACCCCAAGGTTCCCATTTAGGAGCTCTTTTTTATGACGCTTACGTCTACGATATCATCAACTGTTTTACCTTTACACAACATTTAATGTACGCTGATGATAAAAAAATATTCGTCAAGATTCAAAGTGAAGAGGACTGTTTAAAATGCAACTTGATTTAGACGCCTTATTAAATTATTACTTAAAGAACAATATAACAGTTAATATTAAAAAATGTGAGTGCATTTCTTTCACGAGAAAACCCAACCCGATATTATACTGCTACAACTTTAATGGAATACCAATTCATATAACATCGACTGTGAGAGATCTTGACATATACTTCGATAGTAAAATGCTTTTGTCTGACCATGTTGACAAAATGGCGTACAAGGCTTTAAAAAATCTAGGATTTGTCATTAGGTCATGCAAACCTTTTAAAAACATGATGATACCTTGAATGGCTTATATAATGCTTATGTTCGCAGTGTCGTTGAATATGCTTGCCCTATGTATATGTACTCGCGTCTCATTTTGTGACATAAGCGGTCACGTGAGGGTCTAAAAGACCCCAAAGTTAAATGCATTATTCTATGCCAATAAAGGGTATTATATTTTTTTTATATAAACGTAAAAGAAAAAGGTAACTAAAACAATAATAAGTCACAAATATTTATATATTTTTGATTTATTTTTTAGCTATGCACACGTCTGATCCAGTGCCGTCAGTTGCCCAAAAATTCATGGTGTTCAAATGCGCTCCACGAAGTTTTTCACAGTAATAAATAAGCCCAAGTAGAGCGTTCAATTCTACCAAATCCGTAGGTAAGCAGTCTCTTTCTCTTTGGAAGTTATCGTGGATACTGTCAATATATATATTGGTATATGTCACAACCATGTCTGAAAGACTGTCAGGGAACATTAGACTCCAGCAGTTCAAAGGCGTAAGTGCATCTTTTGCCTCATTAATCGGTCCCGGCTCATGAAATATAATGGTGTGGCTACGAGTACGAACATATCTAGGGGTTCCCTCAATATTCCAGTTAATGGAGCCATTTCTACCCACATAGTATCCTTGACGGATATAACTCAGAGGCACATCACTGAGATCAGGTCTTTTTGTGTGTAACATTTCGGCAGAAATATTACCTGCTGAAAAATCTTCGGCCTCAGAATTATCATCATCGCCGCTTTGACTGGAATTTAAGTCGTCATCATCGATCTCTAAGTTATCTTCAATTTCTGAAGAGACTTCTCCTTCAATACCATCTTCCTCTAGAATTTCTTGAATTCTGTGATTGTCTAAAATATTACGCGCCATTTCTGCAAAGAAAAAATAAACTAAAAATATTTTTAAAGAAAAATAATACATTTACACAAACCGTCGCGTAAGGGTCGAAACGACCCATACTCACTTTATACGTTTATGCTGTCCAAACGCCGCGCGTGAACTGAGTGAGGCGGGGTGTGCGGGTAGCCTATATTGTAGCTTAAAGGTACTGAGCGCGACCTTGAATAGTAACCAGCATTTAAAAAGTTATGGAACAAGAAACAAGGTACTGGGTCTTTTCGACCCATGCGCGACTACTCGCGGGTTAAGGTTTATTGTTATGCTATCATTTTTTTTGTAAAAAGAATATTAACAATGCTATAAATATTACTAATATTCCCCTTAATCACTCGTGGTAA